AGCTTGTTTCCTTACACATAATGGAGAGTATAATGGGGAACAATTGTGGGGGCTGTGACATGGATTGTGGGCAGGGATTCTTGGCCAAGGGTGAAGGGGAAGGGGAAGGGAATAATGTGATTTTGGATTTATGGGTTTGGGATATTGTAAGGGGAATATGGGCAGGATATATGGCTGGTTGTGGGTCATGGTTTTTGGCTCCTTGTTGATGTTGTGTTGGGATTGTGAGGGATATTTGGCCAGGGATTTAGAGGAAGGGAGAGAAGGTTTTATTTGTTTATTAAAAGGTTTAAAAGAAGGAAAATAACAACAAACAAAAGGTTGTATTTTACACACTCTTATTTTTGGCCCTAGGCTAAAATAAGAGTAGGAAAAACTTTATTTTGGATATCAAAAGGAAATAAAATACTTTTTGATATTTGGGAGGGGTTGGGATTTTGGTGGAGCCATCCAGGGGTATAACAATTAACATGGGGGTTACACCCATAATGTTTAAAATTCTTCCTATTTAATTGGAGATTAATGGCCAGTTAACTCCGTAAAAGTGAAATAATTTTAAACATTACGTAACGGGTTAACTCTGAGAATCAATTTCTCATTCACCCTTCTACCATTTTTGGCGTATAATATATCAAAATATTTATCTCATTTAAGAGAACACACGTCCATTAATTAACGGTTAAAACCGTTAGTGGACCTATTGATAATTATACCCAAGTTGGTCCATTTAATGCCTATTAAAATGCCAAAAATTCCAACATATAGTTCCTGGTCAAGAAAGGAAAGTATGTAAACTCGTTAAGTCATTATATGGTTTTAAAGAGGCGCCAAAAGTATGGCATGAGAAGTTTGACCAGGTAATGATGAACTCTGGTTCTGCGAGAGTGTTTAGAGGATTAAGCCCAAGATCCTCCGTTTGAAGCGACCACACTTCACTCTTACATAGGTGATTCTTTAAGTGTATCCCGATTACTCCCCTTAGACCACCGTGTCTATTGGTTAAGAATCATTAAAGCATATTTATATGCTAACCTCATCATTTTCGGGAGTCACTGTCTTCAACAGGAACAGAAGGGACTGACCGAAGGTTCCGGTACCGCCCCCACAGTGACCTCGCTTTATCCTACAAGTAGGTTGTCCCATTGAACCTGGGTACCAGCCAGGTTGGGTTTTCCTTCAAAGGACTGTCCTAGCACAAGGGCTTCAAACCCATTCCTGCCACCAACTTCTCATGCAACTCATTTGTTAACCCTTTGGTTAGCGGATCCGCCAAATTATCTTTTGACTTCACATAGTCAATCGTGATAATCCCAGTTGTGAGAAGTTGTCTAATGGTTTTGTGTCTACGACGAATATGTCTAGACTTACCATTATACATATTACTCTTTGCACGTCCTATTGCTGATTGACAATCACAATAGATGCAAACTGGTGGGACCGGTTTATCCCATCTTGGAATGTCCTCTAGGAAGTGGCATAGCCATTCAGCTTCCTCAGCATATTTGTCTAAAGCTATAAACTCAGACTCCATGGTGGACCTAGAAATCACTGTTTGCTTTGAGGATTTCCAAGATATTGCTGCACCCGCTAGCATAAAGACATATCCACTTGTGGACTTCAAGTCTTTACTATCAGATATCCAATTCGCATCCGAGTATCCTTCCAGTACCGGTGGATATCTCGAGTAGCATAAACCATAGTCACGTGTATACCGCAGGTATCTCATCACACGTACAATAGCCTTCTAGTGCTCATCACTCGGATTGCTGGTGTATTTACTCAGCTTACTTATGGCACAGGCTAAATCTGGTCGAGTGCAACTCATTAGATATATCAAACTTCCAATAACTCTCGCATACTCAATTTGAGAGTTACTAGAACCTCGGTTTTTAGCCAGGTGTGCGTTGACGTCCAACGGCGTCTTTGCTACTCTAACGTCATCCTTGTTGAACTTGTCAAGGATTTTATCAATCTATGGGATTGGCTCAGTGCTAGACCCCCAGGTCTTCTCACAATTTTAATTCCAAGAATTACTTCAGCCAAACCCATATCTTTCATGTCAAATCGCGAGTTTAACATGTCTTTGGTAGACTTGACCATCTTGTCATCACTACCAACTATGACTATGTCGTCTACATATAGACACAACATGACATACCCTTGGGATGTGTTTTTTAGATAAACACACTTGTCTGATTCATTAATTTTGAACCCAGAGTTCATCATTACCTAGTCAAACTTCTCATGCCATACTTTTGGCGCCTATTTAAGACCATATAATGACTTAACAAGTTTACATACTTTCCTTTCTTGACCAGGAACTATAAACCCTTCTGGTTGTTCCATGTAGATCTCTTCTTCTAGATCTCCATTAAGGAAAGTTGTTTTCACATCCATTTAATGAACTTCTAAGTTCCGCAAGGAAGATATTGCAAGTATCATCCTAATGGAATTTATCCTTGACACAGGAGCATATGTATCAAAATAATCAAAGCCTTCACGTTAATTGTAACCCTTAATTACAAGTCTGGCTTTGTACGTATCAATGGAACCATCTGGTTTCATTTTCCTCCGAAAGATCCACTTAGAACCTAACGGTTTCCATCCAGGAGGTAGATTCACTAACTCCCAAGTGTGATTCTGCATAATAGAATCAACTTCACTTTTAATTGCCTCTTTCCACTGAGGGCCTTCAGACGAAGTCACTGCTTCACGATAAGTTCGTGGTTCATTTTCTAATAAACATGTCAGAATATCGGGTTCAGTCTCTATCAGAAATGATAGAGTCCCCGATTCAAATTCCAACAAATAAGTTAGAAAATCATTACCAAAGGACTTCTTAGTCCGTGTCCTTTTACTTCGTCTTAGTTCAGTCTCAGTTTCAGTTTCATCAATTATACCGGTATTAGACTGATCCGAGGAACCATCGTTCAACATTTCATCATGTGAACGTTTGGACGAACTTGCTTCTTTCCTCGACTTTAACGGAAATATATTTTCGAAGAATGTTGCATTCCTCGATTCCATTATCGTGTTCTTATGTATTTCTGGATTATCAGACCTATACACTAAGAATCGATACGTGCTACCACTGTAGCCAATAAAGATTCCATCAACGGTCTTTGGACCAATCTTTATTTTCTTTGGTGGTGGTGCTAAAACTTTTGCAAGGCACCCCCACACTTTCAGGTATTTATAGGAAGGTTTCCTATTATACCACAACTCGTAAGGAGTCTTATC